GCTGGAGTATGGCGAGAACGATTGCGTATGAAGAGTAAAAAGAGTGTGAAAACATCTGTTTTATCGATCCAAACCACGCCTTATTGTGCATTTTGGCAATCTGCTTCGCGCTAGTCCCGAAACAGAGTTCGATGGGGTTCTAAGTGGTGCTTAAGTTTAGATTTGGGCTTGGGTTTAAGTCAGTCCAAAGTCTAAGCGAAGTTCAGGCGCTGAACGATAGTCTCAACCAATGTATCTTGTACTCAGCGGTCTTGCTGATCGTTTACACGCTGCATGAGCAATCGTTTTCCAAAAGCTCCAGCAAGAGAATGGATTTTTTTTGGCAAAATTTATGCAAAATCGGCTCGTAAATTCAAGAATAACGCATATTTTTGATGCAAATTGCGAAAATTCCCGATATTAAATTAAAAATGAAAAGTATTTTCGCTATAACTTTAAAACCCGTCGGCCGATATGGCTCAAACTTTCCATATACATGGGAAATTGGCTTCGCTACCTCTGTGCAAATTTTCAGCTCTGTAGGTGCCCTCTGGCTCAAATTTTTGGGGGGTCTTTTTTTTTGGGACACCCTGTATTCCCTGCTCTTCTCCGATGATCCGCCCTTTCCTAATTTATGCTCATTCGTCGCGCCAGCCGCGCCACCCCTGAATATGCGATTTGGGGTCGGGGGCCTTTTGAAGCCGCAAAGTTTTGACAGTATCTTAGGATGCTTTGTACAGTTTCTTGGGTCTTGTACTGTCTTAGTATCGTACTGGGTTTTAAGCGGTTCCTGCTAGCCTGCCTCGTCAGAAATCCACAATCCTCCAATCGTCTTTGCTAGCCTGCCCATGCGCTAGATCACCCCTCGACACTTCCAACTTTCCCAAATTCTCTTGGCCAGCCTACCCTCCCCCGATTCCCTTCCAATCCTAACGCCTTTCCGTGTCATTTCCCCAGTAATTCCTGGCACCCCTCCAGACACCCATTAGTTGATGATGATGAATGGGACTGTCCCCCTCCAAATCGTCATGAGACCTCGTCGATCCCGCCAAAAAAAATGGTGCACTTTAGGGGGGAGCGCGGCGGGGAGGGGCCCGGCCATTCCATAACCCTCAGTTTTTGCGTCCCGTGATTCAGGCGGGGCCATCTGGGATCGGCGCTCATCCACGCGCTGGTTCTCAACTTTTTTGAGGCTTAAAAATTGGCCATAGCCGTGGATTACTGTAGCAAGTTCTGGATTGATACTACAGTCTAATGAAGCGGGGTATGAAGCGGTGCAATTGTCCCACATGAATGACCCAAAAGCCGGTCTCGGGCCCCCGGAAGCGCCTTACGGCTTCTTCTCCTTCTTCCCCCGAATCGGCTGGGGGGAAGGAGGTGATTCACACGCTGCACAAACATACCCCCCGGGGGGATGGGGCCCAATTTGCATACGGAACTCTCCCCTCTTCTTGTAGGACTTCTAGGGGGTACCTGCGTGTCTACCGGAGCATCTGGTACCATCTGCCGGTAGATGTTGGTACTGTTGGATCGCTTTTTTCCAAAGTTCTGCAGAGCTAATTTATTGGCATTCTAATTACCGCTTTTCAACTGGATTTTGCTGGTTTTCCGGATAGCTCCGTTCGTCCGGTTTTCCACAACTCCTATCTAAAGCTTCTTACCTTTTTCTGGACCTCCTCGGCCGGCTTTCCGGTTATCTCCGGTATTGTCCGTTTTTGCGTGCTTGCCCGGAACGCTGGGTTCAGGATTTTTTTTGCCGCTCAGACCTCCGTATCAGAGTATATTTTGGGACGGAATTTGTAGCGTATCGCAATTTTAGCATAAATTGTTTTTTTTTATTTTTGTTTTTTAATCTTTTAAATTAAATTTCCCTAATTCCATTAAAAATTTTTCACCTACTTTCTTCAGGAAAAATTCCCCAACCTTCCCGGCAAACAAAGCCAGTCATTTCCGGTCAACCCAAGGCTACGGTAACCTGAAAAAAAGACATTTTTTAGGGTACCGCCGGGCCGGGGGGTGAAATGAGGCATGAGGGCCATGACGGCCGGCTGCCTGTTAGCGCAACAAATAGAAAACAGACGATGGGTCTTTTGACGGCAATGAATGAATGAAAGGGGGATGGAGAGAGAGAGATAGGGCGGGAGAAGCTCACAAAGTTCACCAGCACCGTAACGAACCCCCGTAGCGTAGCGTAGCCCCCTAAATTACTCGAAAAACGAGGTAAACGACGAAAAAGGACCAAAAACCGTTTTTTTAATAAAAAGAGCTGTTTTACCCTGGCTACAGTAACCCTTTGAAAAATGCCATTTTACTAGGTTTAATGGAAGTCCTGAATGCCGATTTGAAAAGTATCTCGATTTCTCATCTGTGGACTGATTATTAGTTTATTCAATTGTAAATTTTAAATTCAATTATGGCATTTTTTAGCATATTTTAAAGTTTCGTGATTTGCTTTTTAGCCTTAATTCGTGCGAAACGATACTTTAATTACAAAAAAATCAACAATTTATGGAGTTTGTAAATTGTTAAGCGTGTTTTGGATTAAATTGATACCATAAAGCTACCGAAAATTTTATTAATGTATTGATTAAAAATCATGGAGTTTTTTTTTCGATTTTTTTGCAAATTAGATGAGTCCTTAATCAGATAATATTTTTAATTAATTTCAATGGTTTTTATCGCCCTTTGGCTGGCGCCCTATCCCTGCCATCCCACTGCCAGTATTAGTTCCCGGTTGGGCGGGAAAAACCGTTTTTCGGGCTGTAGAAAGGGGGAAAAAGAGGGAAAAACTAGCAGATCTAGGCCCCGCCCCCATCGTCCATCCGTCCATCCCCTCAGTCCCAGCCTCGGGAAATAGCAAAATCAACACACAATGCTTTTCAGCGGCGGTGGCGGCTCTTTCTTTTGCTTGTATCTCTCTCTCTCTCTCTCTCTCTCTCACTCTCCCTCGCTCTCTCTCTCATCCCTTCATTATCATCATCACTTGCACTTTTTTGGCAATGACACCCCCTGTGGCTGCTAGACCAGCCGACCCCAAAAGGACGACAGGCGAAAAAGCCTAGTTTTGATTATATGGATTGATGGGGTGTGGCTGCTGGCGGAGAGGATGATAGCAATCCCCCGAAAAATCGCTTGCCCTCGAATTGCGCATGCAAATCAGCTCGAAAAATCGATATTTTGAGCGATTTTAAGTTGAATTTGGATCCTAAACCGCCAAAAATAGATTTTTCCCCGCCAAAGGTCCTGCAAAAATAAGTTAAGGCCGAAAACTTATACAAATTAATGCGAACTCTCAAAAGTTAAATCGATTTACTTGAATTTGCGTCCGAAATTTCAGGAGCTTTCGATATTTTTCAGATTTTCGCTATTTAAAAAAGTAAAACCTGATATTTCTTAAAATTCACAAATTCCGAACGATGATTAATAACGGAAGCGGAATTTCGATAGTATTTTTGCCGGAATTTCGTTCCCCCACATTTTTCCGTTGTTTATAACCGCTTATTGCAACGATTTTTTTCGTTGCTGCAACGCATCGCAAAAATTTTTGCTCGCGCAACCATTTGTGGTGATAAGCTGGGGAGGTCGGGGCGCCAGTGCAAAAAAAAAGGAAATTATTGGCTTTGTGCCGGCTTTACGATGAGGTGTGGAGGTTTTAAGGTATCCGGAGAGTCTGGAAAGTGCTGTTTCCTTCCCAAGAATGATCGTACTGTAGCAAAATTATGCAGTCCATTGAAAATTTCGCGAAAGGTTGCCTTATACGTTCCTTTAAAACATCATAATTTACATATTTCGCTGGCTTTCTTTGGTTAAGGGAGATTTCCCAAAGATTCTTTGCTAGCTTACCCGGATAACCCTAGCCCTATGGCTTTCCGGTGCCTTTAAAATCTATCCGCTTTTTTGTTTAAGCGACTAAATTTTTTGGGTTCTGCTGGCCTACCTAGATGATTCTGCTTCTGGCTTCTCAATCCCTTTAAAACTCAGTTTTTTCTGACTTTTTTCCAAGAAGTCTTCCCTTTTGATTTCCCAAATTCTCTCAGCCAGTCTGCCCGATTTTCGGCTTTTTAACGGTTTCCTAGTCCCTTAAACTTAACGTACATAGTTTTATAAAGTAGTAGTAGTTCATAGTATTATAGCGTACTCTATGCAGCTGCTCCCCTCGCCTCTATTTTGCATACCCCCATTTTCATTGCCTAATTGTGGTCACAACACTGAAATCGGATCCCTCCCCTTCTACACATGCGTATTTCATGTCGGTCCGCCTGGGCCCCGGGCCTCCACTCCAAATTTGCATTCTGGACCTCTGGACCTTCCAGAATTGTGTGGCTCAGAATTCTGGCCCTTCTTCTACTCCAGCTGCAACTTTATGGGCCCTTAGGGGCAATTGGGTGATTTTTGTGTCGTTTTTTGACCCTAAAGAGCTAAGAAGAACTAGGAAAGCTGGCCGATTCCTAAAGGATCTTTGCTAGCTTCCCTACTCTCGATTTTGTAAAAAAAACTCCGCTCGCTCGCCTTCCTAAAGAATCCTTGCTCGCTTGCCTCGTTCGATCCTGACCCCCTAAAAAACTCTGCCAGCCCTCCACGCTCTACAATTCCGCAAAGAATCTCTGCTAGCATGCCCTCGACTTCCTAAAGAATTTCTGCTAGCTCGCCTCCGAAATAATTTTTCTTAACTCTCTTTCCAAAGTAACCTTTGCTAGCTCGCCTTCCTAAAGGCTCTTTGCTAGTTCACCATGGCGAATATTTGCTGGCTCCGGTTCCTAAAGGGTCTCTGCTAGCTGACGTTCTCAAAAATCTCTACTAGCTTTCCAGGTTTTCCTAAAAAAAATCTATACTGGGTTGCCCGGATTCCTTAAGAATCTCTGCTAGCTCGTCTTCTACAATTATATCTGCTCACCCAATGATTTTATCCCAATTTCTTCAATAATCTCTGCTAGCCTGCCTTTCCACAGTTTTCGATGTCTCGGCCATTTTTATCTATTTCCTATTCGTATTTTCCTATCTTCAGATACCCTCCAGACAAAATGGTACGATGGCGGGGCGCCGAATTCCTATTTTTCGTCGGCTACACGACACTCCTATTCGCAGATGTCGAATCAATCCGTTGTCATTGTTCAACGGATGCGGGTGGAATCCCGTGCAATCGAGCCCTCGAATGGTGTGAAGTGCGGAATTTGAATGACAAGGTATTGTCTCGTACCCGATGGGGGCCGGGCCCTTATCTGATCTGCGGCCCAGGAGGGGGCCCTGGACCGGATTTTTGCATTTTATAGCGTGAAAAGGACAGGCTTCTTCAGACAGAAAGGACAGACAAGCAAAGAACCTTTGGGAAAATTCAGTGGCAGACTAGCAGAATTTCTTTCGGAATCGATTTTACCCAATTTTTTCAGGTCGGCGCATGCGCAATTGTGGGCATCGGAAGCCAATTAAAAACGGCTTGCGTGCGGATAAAGCCCGATTCCGAAGACGCATGCAAAGTGGACAAAGATGAAGACGGGAGGACGCGGGTAAGATTGTTAGATGTATTTTGTAATTTGCAATTTTTAGTAGCTTAAAAAATCGAAAAGTACAGGTTTAATATAATGGCAAGTTTTTGAAAATATAGATTTCTTGAAAAATCTAAAAACATGGATACTTAATCGTTATTTTTCGCAGATTTAGTCACGGTATAGTTGTTGATGCGGCTCGTACTATTTTTTGAGGCAAACATCTTGTTTTCCCGCCTCCACCCTACACTGCTGGTCTACCCAGATAAACATCCTGGTGCCAGTTAGCTAGCCGTTTTCTAGGATTTTTGAGGTTCGTATGCAAATTAGGGGGCTTCGATCTAGCTGTTTAGCTATTCCATATTTTCCGATAATAGCGAGAGAGAGACAGAGAGAGAAAGAAAGAGAGAGTGAGCGAGAGAGCGCTAACACCCCCAAATTCCCAGCCATTCTATTTATGGTCCGAAGGGGGGCTTCTTTTCTTTCCAGGGCTGCTAGTCAGCGCTTTTGGCCGTACAGAAAAGATTGAATTCCCCGGGTTTCGGGGAATTTGTCTGGCATTTTCACACAAAAACCTACAATTTTTGAGGGTATGGAAATTGCAAAATCTTGCGGAAAAAATTTAAAAGCAATTTAGCGAATTTTGAATGTTTTTTTGTATAAAAAAGCTAGGAAGTTGTGTTCATGAAATTTTTAGGATCATAAAATCAATAAGTTTTAAGAGCTAAAAATTAAAAAAATCGTGTGAAAATTAAACAGCCAAATTTTAAATTTTTTGTATGCGGTTCAGATTTTATGAGACAGGCCTCTAAAAATACCGAAAATCGATAAATTCCCCTACGTCTCGTACTACTAACGGCACCCGAATTTGCATACGCAACACGCAGCCTAGCCGGCGCAGGCCGCTCGGTTGAAATTTGATCCCCTTTTAGGGCAAAGAGGAGGGGTCCAGTCCAGGAAGGAGTCAATATAGCACAGAAAGCGGATTTAATATAGCTAAAAAAGTATCAGTAAATTTCGAGCGTAAAAAACCGATCATTTTCCAGACGCGTTGCTGGTGCAAAAGCGGCGACTACTGCAATATGGATATGATGGATGAGTTGGATAACCAGCCGGTTTGCTCTTTTATAATATTTTATCGTATGCAATAAGAAGTGAAAATACACCAAAATTTTATATATCGTAATTGGATAGTGTAAGCCTGGAGTTGTAGCCACATTTTTTAGAGCAGTGAAGAGAGCAACGATGTCGTCGAGGAGCCGCAGGAGGAGTTCCAGATTGAGAAGAATTATGATGAGCAGCGGTCAGTTGGGACGTCTATTAGTGCGTAACAGGGGTTCTTGGGGGAATCGCCGGTTCTCTCGTTCTTGTTCGCTCGTTCGCTCTCTCTCTCTCTCTCTCTCTCTCTCTCTCTCTCTCTCTCTCTCTCTCTTTCTCTCGCTCCTTCTCTCTCCCGCTCTCTCTCTCCTCTTTCTCGCACTCTTTCGCACTCGCCCTCTCTCTCTTTCCCATAAATCGGAATGCAACACCATCCGTTAGAAAGTCCATTGTTGACCGTTCGGACCCCCAAAAAAGCGCAGCGGCTGCTTTTGCTCAACCCTCACTGGCCCTCCGACGCTCGGTTGCTGAACAAATTCACGGTATTGACACGAACTCTGTGAGGGGAACGGTGGAAGGGGAGGAAGGGCGGCTTTACGCTCATCGCCTCCTTCCGCTCCTAATTTTTAAGATGATGAAGCACTCCAGGGGTGGAAAGGAAAAAGTACGGTTATATACACTTTACAAAAAGTTAAAGGAGAAAGTGAATTGATGACGCGAATTCGGTGCCTGTGCGTTGCGTATTGCGCAGTGTATCCTTGAAAAACCTCTAAAATTTCAGTGAGCAACAGCACCGCCAACCTGTGGCTCGTCCTCAAAATTCACTTCTACATACGTCATATGAGGTATATCGCAACCATCAAAAAATTTATATATATATTTCCAGGCCGAAACTCGGTCCGGTAAACGTGAAGATGAACTACTGTGGGAACAGCAAGAAGCTGAAGCCAAGAGGAGGCTGATTGAGGAGAGAACGGCCAGGTAAGATCGGTATTTTGGATCTTCTAGGCCGTAGATTCTACCTTGCACCTTCCTTAAAACCGGTGTATTTCCAGGGAACGCTCGGAGCGAGCTCGAGCTGAAGACGAACAGCGACGGCGGCAGGAGGTGGAACGCCAGAGGGCTGAGCACGAGCGGAAACAGGGTTAGTCGGGCAACTTCAGCTATCGAGGGAGTTTCAGCAGCTCGTGCTTGTTCAGCTTAGGCCTCATCTCGTTGAACCTTTTGAACTTCTTGAACTTGCGCTCCTAGCGCTCCTTCAAATGCTGATCGTCTCGGACCTCTTGAACTCCCAATCCTTGCTGAGTTTGAAATATCCAGCACGTAGTGTTTCAGGGCGCGTTTCTCTCCAACTCCTGAACTCCTTGAACTCGAGCTAAAATCGCACAAATCCCTTAAATTCCTAATTTTCAGCCGAAGAAGCTCACCGACGTCGTCTGGACGCTGACCGACAGAGAAAAGAAGAAGAAGACAGAAAACGTTGGGAAGAGGAGGAGGAGAGGATGAGGAAAATGGCCAAGGAGGAGGAAGAGGCAGAGAGAAGGAGAAAGATAGAAGAAGAAGAGTCGAGGAGGAGACATGAGGTGATGAGGTTGGCAGAAAAGCGCAGAAAAGAAGCTGAAGAAGAAACTCGTCGTCGAGCTGATGCTCAGAAGAAGAAGGAGGAGGCGGAGAGGTAAAAATGCAATGATCTTGAAATCATTTTTCATTTTGAAAAGTTAAATGTATTCATTTTAGACTTACCAAGCAACGCGCCGAAGCAGAAGAAGCTGAAAGATTGAGGATGGAGCGCGAAAAGCAGGAGCGGGACGAGAAAGAGAGAGAAGAGGAGGAAGAGGCCGAGCGGAAGCGACGAATCCAACAAGCTCAGGCTTCAGCTGTGCACCGCAGTCACTTACATAACCATTTGCATGGCCATAATTATGTAAGTGGGCTTGGCGCAGTTGGTAGAGCAGCAGATTATAAATTGGGGGTTGAGGGTTCGGATCCTGCCGTTGCTAGATCTTTTGCGTTTTGCTACAACACCAAAAACCAAAAAAAAACCTAGCAGAAAAATAACACCAACAACCAAAATTTCCATTAATTTCAGCGCGCCTATCACGACCAGGACCCACCAGTATCAGCACCGTCAAAGCCCAGAAATCCGTAAGTCCGCCGCGTGCCACTTTACGGCTCAAAAATGGCCACGCTTCGGGTGACGGTACGGTATACTAACCAAAAACTAAGTAATCACGCAATTCACTGGTGTCTAGGCTCTCCACCTCGGCCACAATTCATATCCTTCTCCGTCCCTTTCATCTGACGCAAGCAATTCTCTTATACTCGACTTCTTTGAACCTCTATGATAATCTACAACTGTGTGTTCTCGCTTTCTAATCGCTACTCCTAACCTTCAAACCCGAGCAACGTCTCCCGGAATACCTCTTTTAGCCCCTCCTCCCCATTGACAGAACGACAAACCGTCTACCGACTACGAAAAGCCCTACTCGTCGAATTCCACCGCGGCAGCAGCCCCGATCAAGCCACCCGTCGCATCGCCCAGCTCTTCGGCCGTCAGCTAGTATCGCTGCGTAGCGTCAAGAAGTGGTTCTATCAATTCCGCCAGGGCAACTACGATGTCAGCTTCCGCGTCCGCGCCTCGGGCCGAAAACTCAGGACCGCGGATTTGAAGAGCAGCATACAAAATCAATAGACTACTTCTATCATCGTTTATGAATCTAGGCTTATTGATATACCCTGATACTCGGTATTCCAATCTGGAATTCCCCCAAAAATCACTGCCAGCCTGCCCTTAAACCCCTCTTAATTGCTTAGATCCAAAATTCCCCAATTATCCCTGCTAGCCTCCCTCTCAAATACTCCGTGAATTCCTCAATATCTATTTTCGTGAAACCTCTTGCCATTTTCCTTATCCCCCGGTGTCCTCAAAATCTCATGACAACCCAGTATTACAGCAATTATGGGTAGCAATAAAGTATCGTACCGTTGCCCGGAGCGAATTGCATATACTACGAGACTTATTTCCGACGTTCTAGCGTAGAAATCCGTACTTTAGCCCTCCACGCCGCTCCAACTACCGCCCTCTCGACGTCGCCCAAATTCTTAATAACAAGTAAGCAAGAAAAAAAGTCATTTCCCGAACGCGTACGGCTGCGTAGCGTATCCCGTACAAACCGGGAAAGACGCAACGCGTCCGCCCGTGCTTGCAGCATCGAGCGTCCAATTAAAAAAGAAAAACTTTCAGCCCAACCACTACAACACTTCCCCCAACCTTCCCGACCGCCGTTGAAGGCCTTGGCATTATTAAGATTAAAGGTTATATCTCGGAAGGTAAGTCACATTTGAATTACGATAATGAGCAAAAAGAACTTATTTCTACGCGCCCAGAAAAATATGCCGTTTTCGTTGGCTACACGAGCACTCAAAAGCGCAGATCTTTGCAGTTTCTGAACCCGAAACGCACTTGAAAAACGTCGATAACCTATAAAATCTCAAGACTTGATAAAATCAACAAAGCACATATCAGAAACCCCAGAAGAAACGACAACTACTACCAGAACAACCACCACTACCACTACTTCAACAACTTCTACCACAACAACAACAACAACCACGGTAAGCCAGCTTAGCTTTAGAAAATGGCAACAATCTTCTAGACAACAACGACTAAACCAGCCATGAAAGAAGAACCAAAAGACAAAGAATCTGCCGAATCTAAAGGTATTCAACCAGTCCAATCGCTAAAACACTTTTTAACCTTAGAAAAAGTCGACTGGCGTGCGAAATATAAGAAAGTTATTGAAGACGCCGAGGCTGACGCTGAGAAAACGGAAGAAGTTGTATGTTAAAATTACCTCCCGATACTTAAATACTAGAAATTTAAAAAAACTATGAACTTTCAGAGCGAAGAAGTCAACCCGTTCCTGGAACCCCGGCGCGAAGCCGTTGCCCCCGACTCGGCCACGCTCCCAAATATCATTTCCTTATTTGCTTTTATCATTGTTATTTATATTCTCGAATTATGAACAACAAAACTATGAAAAAAATGTCATTATTCGTCATTCCCGTGCCTGTTCCCTTTAGAAATCCTGGTGCTCTTTCATTGTAGTCTTTTTTTCCTTACTGCGGTGGTGTATTTTTTAATTTACGACCATTTTTTATGTTTATAACGCTCTTTTTCGTTTATTCCGGTACGCTCTATCAAAATGGACAACTCGCAAATTTTCACTTTGAACCGAGCTGCCAATTCGGTTTCCAACTTTTCGAAGAGCCAAATTAAATACAGCGCACTGCCGTCCCTACGCGCTTTAACCAGCCTCTCACGTGCCATCCAGAGCTTTAGGCAATTTGGCGATGCCATGACTTTTCTTGATCACTTTAACTTTCATTTCCTGTTTTTCCTGTTTTCACTTCCCCCCGCCTTACTATCCATTCGCCCCACCCCTCCATATCAGCTACGGGTGCTGAGACATATTGTTCCGAAAAGACGCAATAAACAATTTTATGTGAAAACCAGATTTTTACAATAAATTGCACTGTATTTTAGATACATAATCGGCATTTTATTATTTTGATTTAAACAAAGGCTTACGCTATGAAATCTAGCGCCAATAGGACATGGGCGTAGCCTCTGTAATAAATCGCATAAGAGAAAAGAAAAGGAAGAAATAACGTTATTTGTTGTTATAACATTGAAACTAAAGCAAATCCTTGTTCAAAAATGTTGAAAATTGCTAAAACTATCGCTAGGTTATTTAGCAACTTTTTCTTCATGCAATTGCCTCATCTCTTGTCTATTTTTCCCATTTTTTTAGCTCTTTTCGCCTTGAATTTACATATAAATGCTGTTTAAGATGGCAGACGGTTGGCATATCAACGAAGCCGTCCTTGCCGAACTATATGGCTCCGATCCGGTGCCCAAGGAAAAAAACCGGCTCCAACAGGACCTTTGTGATGTGCGTTTTTTACACAACTTTTGATGTTTTTGAGGATTAAAAAGTACCGATAGTTTTAGATGGATATTCGCCGTTTCGGGATGCCGGTACTAACGGATAGAATCGACAAAGAAAAAGGAATCATCCGTGGCCCGATCGTATTGCAAATTACGCGCGCAAAGTAAGCGAAAATTTGGCTCTAGAGTGGAAATTTCAGGAATGTCTCCCATCCCAAGATCTCGGAGGTTTCACGCACGAGCGATGGCATTATTCGACTGCATCTGACTGATGGACACGGAGCTGCTTCGGCAATTATCCTGCAAACCATCAAAGGACTCGAGTTTGTTAAATTTATTTGCAAAATAAATATCGTTTAGTGGCTCGACACCGCCCGGTACGAAAGTTCTAATCACCGGCGACGCGCCAGTTGAAGCTGGCTTCATCTTTGTTACCTCCCAAAATATTCGTGTTCTCGGCGGGCACGTGGATGCGCTGATTCAAAAATGGAAGCTGGAACAGGGATCTCAAATTTAATGGTAGAAGAATTATTTTCAGGGCGCTGAAATGACCGATCGTACAACGTTAAAGGTTACTTCAAAAGCACCCAAATGGGTATCATTTGGCAAGAAAACGAGCGGTGCTCCGGTGGTAAATACAAAGGATTTCCGGGCGAATGAGGTATGGGATAACCTTTTTCTTATTGCTTTCTAGGTAATCCAACGAAACAAAAACGAAAGTGAAGAGGCCACGGCGGCTGCGACTGAATTTGAGCGCCAACGAAAGGAGCAAATTGAAGCGGCAAAGGAAGCTGCAACCAAAAAAGTGTTCGCGGCTCCTCAGGTATTTTTTCTATGGTAGTTAATTCTGTTTTTTTTTAGATCGAAGCCCCGCTGAAAGGCCCCGAAGAAGCTCGCGTATTTGCAGTGAAAGAGCCAAAAGAGAGACCGAAGGGCAGAGGGCGTCGTGGAAGGGACGAAGAGGATGAAGACGTACCACCGGAACACAGGGCTCCCGTCTCTCGAGCCACTCTTTTCGACTTCATCTCGAAAACCGGAAATGTTCCTGATGCACCGGAGACATCCTCACGTCCTGTTGTTGAGCAGGTAAACAAATGCAGTTTTCCTCTATTTTTTTATATAGCGAGCACCGGAAGAACGGCGACACCAAGGCTTTCAGAATAAACAAGACTTCCAGCCGGTATCAGATTATTTTTTGGGCAAATTTTGATTTGTAGAGAAATGATCGCAGAAACGAGCGCAACGATCGAGCTCCGCATGGTCAAGTAAGTGTAATATTAAAAAGTCGATTTATTTTTGTTTAGAAACCGAATGATAATCCAAGGCGAGGCCCACCGCAACGAGATGATAGGCGCGATCCAAAACAACCGGTATGACTATTTTTTTACAGAACGAACAAAAACTTTTCAGAGGCCGGACAACAGAACGGGAGCGCCAAATACGCGAAGGGAGCAGTACCAAAATGTAGCGGCTTATTTTATTAGTTTATTAGTCATTTATTAAGAAGCCTGACGCTCGTCCAAACCAGCCCAACCGTAGACCGGAAGCTGGCCAGCCAACGCCGGGACGGTCTTCTGGCCCGCCGAGAGATCATCAGAGACAAGATCGGCCCAAAATTGAATACACCCCGAAAAGAGACACCCAGCAAAATTTCGTCGAACCGTCAAGACCCTCGGGTCCGCAAAGGGATAATCCGCGCCAAGATCGCCCGAAAACCGAATACACCCCAAAGAGAGACAACCAGCAGAATTTTGGTATCTTTTTCTACTTGGTCTCTGGAATCCGGGATTTAGCTCCGCCACGACAAGCGACTTCCGATGGAGGTGCTGTATTTACAAGAACTTTCCGCCCTAGTCGTGGAGAACGGTAAAAATTTTCATTTCCGGCTAAGCCGTTTTATTTCTAGAGAACCCACCAATCAGGCGATGCAGCGAACGGGCCATGGACTCGACGTACAAAGTAAAATCAGCAATTTCTGATTTTTACGCTTATTTAGTGCACACCCTACAGCTCTCCGACCGAGCCCCGGCCCCACGCAGGGCAGCAGCACCGCTCTGGAAAAATGGGGAGCAATGCCTCGCGCCGTGGGAGGATGGAATGGTAGGTTTTTTAGGCAGATTTAATTTTTGTGATTTTAGTTGTATCCCGCCACGATCGTGTCACTCCGCGGGCCGGAGGAGGCCGTCGTCCGCTACGATGCTTATGGCAACACGGCTACATTACCCACCGGAGTTCTTGTCAAGCATTAGAACCATTTGTGATTGATTGTTTTTCGTTTTTCTTTTTCGGAATAAAGTTTTATCGCTATTGCTATTTTGTATTTATGGTTCTGGTTGGAAACCAAGTATTTAGTAAATCGCCATACCGTTTTTCTCTTTTGTTCGTAAAATACAACATAGTTTGGAGATTCGTCTCCTTTAGATGATCTCTAGGTTCATCTGTTGATGAGTATGGTCTATATGGTCCCATTTTATTTATAACTTCTTGCTTTTTCAAATTAATTCTGTTTATTTTACAGCGCTATGGCTGACGCTGACGACTACCCGTCATTGACACCGCAAGAAATGCTGGCCGACGTGCGGGCGTACATGGCTGCACAAGACCTCGGTAGACTATGAAAATAGGCTGTATGTATCCTTTTTAGATCCGGTCGACACTAGCATGTTCTTCGGTCGAGCCAGCGACTACAAGCCTTTGGAAGGGGAGGTGAGCTTTTCATTTGTTATTTGAATTATATAGTTCTCAGTAGGAAAATATGTCGAAAAAATTTATTTACTTAGCACCTGCGTCGGCTCCTCAGAGGGGTAGAAATGAACAAACCACGGCCCCCGCCACCAAGTACGTTGATTGTATCTGGTCTTAGTTTTGTTGATTTTAGAGATCGTCGTCACCTCGGTGTACCCGGAAGCGATGGCCGATCACACCCTGTCAGTGGTTTTTTTTGAGATTTTGCTATCAGAATGGGGGAAGTTGCCTTGTCGAAATGTCATTATGCCGAAAATCTATGACTGCACCAGATTGACCTATCTCTCTCTTGAAGCAGAAACGTAAATAGACGCGGTGTTGCAACTGCGATATAACAAAATTTTCATAAAGCTAATATTACATCCTCATTTTTGAGGAAATGAAATGAGCCTTATTTAGCTTATCAATTAAGGTGCTTCCAGGTTAACGGGGGACGGTTGCCAACTTTTCTTTCATAGTCTACATCCGCCTAGTGATAAATTGTAGTTTATTCTAATAATGTTTTTAGTCGTTTCCGATAAGCAAAAATTATAACAACTTTATCCTACAGTCACAAAATCTAGGGGTTTAGCTCGTTTTCAACCATTTTCTTAGACGTTAGACCGAAAAAAAAGCAAAAATTTTCAACATGTTTTATGATGTTTGTCTAAAATTCTCCTCCTTAGCTAAGAGTCAAAAACCACTTGAAACGCTTACAAGTATACAAAGTACTTTTATTTAGTCGACCTGTACGAGATTATAGAAAAAAGTTGGCAACCGCCCCCCCGATAACCTGGAAGCACCTCAATTAAAAAAGGCTGTCTGAATATAATGAAAATTTAGGAAAACTTTCAACGAGCTCACCTTCTGCAAAGATGCCGTGGTGACGCACCTTGCGGATCGTTGCCCGGATAAGGACCCCGAAGAGCTAGAACCGACCAAGGTCCAATCGCTGGTGCATCCCTTTTTCCAGAGTGAGTTCTTGGCAATGCTATTTTCATTGATTTATTTAGGACGCTCCCATGTGCTGGTCCGTGCTCCCACCGGCTCGGGCAAGACAATCGCGTTCTTGGCCCCAATCTTCGACATACTGGCGCCCCCCGTGCTGTTGGGATCAGTATGCTTATGGTTGTTGAGAAAATTGTTGGTTTTTAGAGAAAGGCACCGCGCGCTCTGGTGGTAATCGACACACGTGATTTGTGCCGTCAACATACTTGTGTCGCCACGCAGTTGTCCAATTGTCGGTTTTTAGGCGAAAAACTGTTGTGGTTTTAAATTAGAAACTTTTTCGCGTGGTTGATGTTGTTTTCAAACAGTCTTCAAAAGCTCATCCTAACGAAATTACGATTTTTGCGTAAAGTTATTTTTTAGTATTAAAGCATTTTAGAACCAATAATCGGTCTTCTTACAGTAACCGACGGTCGGCTGACCGTCGCGTGCCACATGGGCGGCAACATCTCCCGCATCGACTGCGAGAAGTACAAGGCCGAGCAGCACATCATCGTCAACCCGCCCAACTACGAGTACGATATCCTATTCATGTCACCCGGCAAGCTCATCGAGGCTATCCAACGCAAAGTAAGCTTATTCGCTTGGTTTTGTCTTAATTTTGCAATAATTTAAAAACCAAATTACCATTTCTCTTCCAGATCGACTTCTCTCAGCTCGAGTTCATCGTCTTCGACGAGGCGGACGAGGTCGAATTTTTTCAGTAGATTGTCACTGTGCTTTAGTTATTCGATGGGGGCAAGTTCCAAGAGGAGTTCCGCTATCTCAAGGAGGAGCTGGAAAAGCTGCGTGCCCAGCCCGTAAGCCGATTTAGCCGGATTCTGATCGTTTCCAGACCTTTCGGCCTGCTGTATCCTTCTTCTCGGCCACGCTCGACCCGGAATCGCAGCAAGTCCAGCGTGGATTGAGCATTGTTGGCTTGGAGAATCTCCCTGTCGAAGAGGTATTTATTGACCTTGTGTTTTTATCATGAATTTAGTTGGGATTCGTGTACGTGGACCGGCAGCACAGCGTCACTCAGCTCGTCTTCAAGGTGGTTCCGGCATTTACGCAGCTTCTAATCCCAATTTCAGGTGGCCGGCATACGGCAGAAGCTGCACCTTTTGGAGATCCTCCTCGAGAAAGACCTGAAACGTGGCGGCTCGTCGAACAAAGACCCGAACAAGCACACCCGTTAGTATTTCTCCATTTGCTTGTAGTTTCCCTATCCAGATGTGTACCCAAATGCGACTCTCGTCTTCTGCAACACGCGCGCCCAGGCGTGGTTCGTCTACATGTGGCTGAAGCAGAAGGATTTCCCGGTGGCCGTGCATACCGGGTAATTCGGCTTATTCGATGGATTTATTCGATTTTCATACGCATTTCAAAAAACTAATCTGTTTTTGAATTAAGCTAAACTAAAACCCTTTGAATTTCACTACTTATTTAAACTCTTTCCGACCAAATAGGCCGATTTTCGACCGAAATCTCAAATACAATTTTTTCAAAGTTTTCTTCTTTCACTTTAAATATAGTTAAATTTTTGTAAAAATACTATGAAAATACTAACATTTTTGGACTTATAGGAACCGCCGATGCTACGCAAGAGCTAATATCAGCATAGCCAATTTTTCAAAATTCTGATACTTCCTTTTTTTTTCAGAAAGATGAACGACTCGGCCCGGAACTCGAATCTAACGGGAATCTCGGATGGCAGGGTGCCGATTTGCATCGCGTCAGATGCGTTGGCCCGCGGGCTTGATAAGCCGAATGTTGACCATGTTGGTTTCGCTGCCGCTGAATCTATTTTCGTTTTTCTTCAGGTGATCCTCTACCAGCTTCCCAACGAGAAATGGGACAAATACGACCATCGCGTCGGACGGGCTGGTCGGGCTGGAAGGGTATTTTAAATGATTGTTTTCTTATTGTTTTTAGCCTGGTACATGCTCAATCTTGTTCGACGCGAATCACCGCCCAGACTTGATGGAGGCGGGCATGCTGCTGGCGGTAGATGATCAACCGCCGGAATCTAACTCCTTTTTAGAAGCTGCGTTCTTTCGGCCAAAAGGTGCCAGCTTTCCTGACTGGACTGGGCGGGCACGTCGAGATGGTGGAGGCCAGTACGCAAGATGTGAGCCTTGTTGGCTTTTTATTTATAATTCGCGGTTCTAGTTTCATAACGGGGGGGGGTAATTCCCGACTAACCCTCAGAAAATTAAAAAGAGACGACTTTCCTATTTATTTCATTGTGGATTAAACAATTACGATATTATAGGGCAGATAGGATAAAATTAGCCGCCCCTCCGATAACGAACCACGGACCTTATTTTTCTATGATACGCTAAACGCTCAGCAATTTCCATTTTTCAGTCGACAGAAGATTCGCGTAGCAACTATGACACGGCCCACGAGGACGAGCTGCGCACCACCGACTCGACGACCGACGCCGACGACCCGAGCTCCGATCTGTCACTCTCCAATATTCGCCCGCCAATGAGTGATGATGATGATGATCGCGACTCCAGCCAACCTCAAGGAGTTGCCGACACGTACACCGATGAGGAGGAGGCGGACAAAATGGACTATGATCAAGGCTTCCGCTCCACCGGCCCCGACCTGCCATAATAAGCCTCAGATCTTTTGTTTGCAATTTGCCGTGATTGTATTGAATCCCTTGCCTTTGCTTCTCCGGGTCCATTTTTGCTACCCCCACCATTGAATGTTTACGATTTTACTTTGAATAAAGTTACCCATCAAATTGTGGGCTTTTTCAATCTTTTGCGCTTGTACTTCGGAGTATACCGCGTTCTAAAAAGGGCTACGAACTACATTTTGGGACTTCGAGCTTTTTCGCTCTCCTAATTTTGAAAGATTATACGGAATTCGAAGTATATCTAGCTTTGAAATGAGCTCTAATCTACGTTTGAGGATTCCGAAAGATTATATAGGTAAAATTCGAAGTACTTTTGAAAAAATACGTAAACTACGTTTTATACGTATTCTAACGATTTTCAAGCCTTGCCGCTTTTGATTCGATGGATACTCCTTTTTTTAAAGCTAGAAAACGGAATATTTTTGAAGACCTGGAAAAATTTTCGGCTTCCAATTCGAAATATCTCGCAATTTAGAAGAGCTAACCCACTATATTTTAGCAATTTCTCACGTCTCCCCGGATCTGGATATTTTGCCGACCGGTCTATACATGGGCTGAGAATTGTTTGTGAATGCCACCTGTGTATTTGTGTGTGTCCATCTCTCTGTTCCTCTCTCTACAAAGCGACCATTCGTGCCGGGACGCACAAATAATTAGAGAGCCACTAATAGCCGACGCGTCCCCAGGCCAATACCCTCCCTGCCACCACCACCACCTTTTTCGTCTAATTGACGTTGGCAGGCGATTGGCGCGGGGCCAGGTGGACAGTTCTGAGGCGGTGATGATGAAGCATGGTTAATAGGGATAGGAAAGCTGGTATCAAGATTTTAATGGTAAGGACAAGCCGTGACTCTATCTTCCAGGTTATCTGACTTTTTTCTAGCTTTTCGACGTTTATTTCGGAGTAAACGCATAGGCAGACCAGCACAGAACCATTTGAGAGGGGCTTTTTTAAAAGGTTTTCGGATTTTCGTTGCTTTTGGCGCATTAACGACTATTTAGATGGTACGTATCGCGTTGGAATTCTGTAGGAAACAGCGAAGACCAAAATTTTTAGCCCAAGAAGCAGCCTTACACGCTTGGTCTCCCTTTTCCGGTTTTTGTAAGATTTGCGGAGCTATTCTTAAAATTATTTAAGGAGGCAAGGCTAGCCGGGATCTTTTGAAAGCTGTTTTTCCTGCTTTTGCCCCAAATTCTGATTTGGCCTCGTTTAGGACAAACTCGTTTGGTCGCTATTTTCTTTATTTAGCGTCTTTTCTGTAAGCCTCTTTCTCTCGCTCGCTCTCTCTCTCTCTGTCATTCTCTATCTCTCACTTTAAAATCTCACCATATCTGTTTTTTTCGATGCATTCCCCCAATTTTCGAGAAAAGAAGCGTCAGCACATCCGTCTGCCAACCCGGCCGTTTCCATACTAATTACGTGGTGCTCGTCGAGAGAGGCCTGTGCGGCTCCTTCGACCCCTGGTCCGGGGCCCTAACCCACAAATGGAATGGGCCCTAAGCCCGGGAAGGAGAAGGAGAAGGAGCGGAACGACGAAACGAGGCCCGAATTGGACCCCGGCTCGAACACCCAAGGGGGTTCCCCCTTTGGGTTTTGCATCCGGGACCAATACGGGCTCCAGGAATTAGCGGGGTTTTGGCTCTGGAAAAGATGGGAAATCCATCGGGGTTTTGGGTTTATGAGCCCTTTAAAGGGCCGGGCAAGCCAGTTATAAGGACTTGGATCTGTAAAATCCATAGCCTCCATAGCAAAAATCCAGTATTATTCCTTGCCAGTTCCTTTAAAAACACTTCCCTCATAATCTACATATCTCAACGGGGTTGTGTTGTGTATTAGGTTGTGGTTGGGTAGGGAGGGCGAAAACCTGTTCGAGCTTCCCGCCCTCCCTCCCGGCCCGGTCATTATATGCATAAACGATAAACCGAGCAAGGAAGGGGCCACATATGTGGGCACCAAACAAATGGGCCAACCCCCACAGAGGTCCTTCTAGGTTGGACTCAAATAGCCCCGACGAGTTGAGGACGGGGACACTGTTATCTCTCACTCTCTCTCTCTCTCTCTCTCTCTCTCTCTCTCTCTCTCTCTCTCTCTCTCTCGCTTTCTCTCATACGTGTTCCTTGAGCGGGATACGGTAAGAAGTCATGAGAGAGCGCGGTAGAGAGACGGCGCGAGCGGGAGAGAGGCAGAGAGAGTGTGAGAGAGAAAGAAAGAGCACGAACCTGAGTGAGAGCTATAAAAAAATTTTGTTAGATCTAGGGGAGCGAGAGAGCTAAAAGAGTGGAGGATCAGAAAGACAGAGGGAGAGTAAAAGCGTGAAATTGGGGCAAAACAAGTGATGAGCTGTGTTCAGGGTATCTTTAAAGTATTCCTCTTCTCAGTCCTTTTAAACATCTTCCCCCCCCAAAATTACCATTCCCCAATGGCCACTGCTAACTCCCCTCCTCATCACATAGCATCTGGCGGATGACCCCTCGACTTTGGCTGTTTTTGGATAAATGCCCACTGAGAGGCCCAGAGTTGTTTATTGAAGAGAGTTGGCCAAGTGCCAGCCTGTCCTTCCAGACACACTCTCTCTCTCTCTCTCTCTCTATCTCTCGCTCTCTCTTCATCGGCTTACCCGGTCAGAGGCCGAACGAATATGTAAACTACGATGACCGGGGTGTCGGATGAGTCATCTTTGTTTTTTGAATATTTCAACGGGGTACCTAGCACAAGATCGTGCTCACAAATTGCTACAGTAGTCCCTGGGGAGGAAGCTAGCAGACACCTTTGAGATCTGATCCAGATTCTTCCTGTTCAAATACGCGTGAACAAGAGCTCGGAAAATTTGGACAAAAATGGGGGAATGATAGCTGGCAGAGATTCTTTACGGAAAAATGGATTGGATCGGGTAGGGTAGCAGTGATTCCACGCGGAAGTTTCGATAATTTTGGGATTTAGGATTTTTGCCGACTCGGTGAAGGCAGGCTAGCATAGATTTTTGAGGATGAAATTTTCGCCTCGAGCAACCTAGCAGAGATTATTGAGAGAGGACATGCTAGCTTGGATTTTTGCGGAAAAATGCTGTTTTTATACTTATTTATAAATGCAATGTATTTTCTATTTTCACGTACACTATTTTCCGAAAAAATTTATTACGACAAAAACAGACACATAGTATATCGAGAAAAAAGGCTATCGCGCGAGCGAGAGAGGGAAAAAAAGTGTCGGGGCCGGGGGCTGATTTGCATAGCAAAAAAAACACAAATTTGGGGCAACGAAAAAAATTGTGTTGAATATGCAATGTGTTTGGAGTTGTGGTTAGGAGTTTGTAGTGTGTATGAGAAATCTCGGGGCGTTGAGAACGGGTTACGGTAGAGGGGATAAATCGGGATTTAATGGTTTTTACGGTAATTGTTCGGAATGCTCCAACACAATTCCAGGGTCCGGGGAGGGGGGCGAAAGATCAGCAGTTTGATAAATTGTTTGTTGTGGATGGGGGCGAGAGAATGGGGGAGGGTGAGAGGGACAGGGAGAGCGAGAGATATTTTTATTCGATCCGGCTGCTGAGTGCACCGCAGATGAACATCGCATCGGGTGAGGGGACTGAAAATAAGCAAATTATTCAACATCCATTTGAAATTTTTTCTATTTTTTTTATGGATTTTCTCTGCCTTCCGAGTACCTTTAAGTCTTTTTACAAGTCGAGATTTACAATTTTAAGTACCCAGACTGTTCTTACGGAATCTTAGCCGAAATTTTGCCTTCCTGGCCCCTTTAATGTCAGAATTCCGCGACAATACTCCAGGGTACAGGCGAAATTTTACGTGGTATTCCCTTTAAATCAATAATTCCGGGATTCCTCTAGAATACTATACCGTAATCCCGGGTTTTGGCTTCAAGTTCCCTTGAAACTAAAATTCCCGACGGTTCCGTAAAGATACGCAACGTACTGACGAAAAAAATTGGCTTCCCGGTTCCTTTAAGCCTGGAATTCGGTTACAGTACTCTATCGTACAGTCAAAATTTCACTTGCAAGTCCCTTTAAAAATGACGATGTTTTTAGATTTAAACTTTTAGCTTCCCGGTCTTATTATTTCCGAAACTTGGAGGATTCCGTCACCATACTCTACCATAACCGAGAAATGCGCGTTTCTGCTCTCTTTAAACCCACAAAAGCCCCTAATTTGCCCATTCAAGGGGGTTAGTTAAGATTCCCCAAGGGTTCCCCCCCTCCCCTCTCAAATGTACTCCCCGGGCTCCGTTTTGGCGGCTGTCCATCAATTAAAGGGGACAGCAAGGGAAGGGAGGCAGGGGTGTGTAGATAGGATCATCGGGTAGCCTTCCCCCCCCACCCTCGACACTACGCGCGACAACTCGAGACGGACACACGATCAATATCTGGGTCATGTCCAGCCGGGGATCCTGGGGGCAGATGGCCTCCTCTTTGACTAGGGGAGGACGAGACTAGTTATGTGCGCAAGAGATCCCATCGCATCCCCCGTCCCTCACTTCCGCCAAGGCTGTGTGCTAGCTTGCCCTCAAGGAGGGGGGAATTCGGGATTATGCAAATTAGGGTAAAAAATGGCTGAAACTTTGAAAAGTGTGGAAAATTGAGCTTTTCACATAAATTCCGTTACAGTACGGACTATTCCGCAGAACTAAAAAGTCCAACAGAGCAGTTGATTATGCTAATTAAGCTTAAAAATATCGAAAAATGCTAAAAAATTCGTTTTTCCCTTAAATACCGCCCGATTCCGCGTGATTACAAGGTACAATAACGCGCGTTGTTGACCGTAATTTTTGAAAATAGCTCCCAAAAATTATTACATTACCGTACCCGCTTCCCAATTCCGCTAGGATACAAACTACGCCCCGGGAGTAATTTTCGGGGGCAGGCAAGGCCGGGGCCCATTTGATGACCGGCTGGCCCCAAGATGGGCCCCAACGACGGGGGCCCATCCATGCATAATTTATGGACAGCCGCGACTGGTTTTGGGGGCAAGCCATTTTGAGCCCCGGGCCCAGACCGCTTTTTCTGACCCCTCGGGGGGCCGGAGGAAGGGGAGAACAATGCGGAATATGGCACGTACGACTAAAAACGGGGGTCTTTCGCAACATTATCAGGATTTGTAATTTGTACGATAGCGTAGTGGAACGGAATTTTGGGGTTAAGGACAGTTTTAAATGGCCCAGAAATCCGTTTTTTGAGTTTTAGGAGAGCCCTTTAGTCAATTTTCCGGCTTTAAAGGGACCGGCAAGTCAAGAATATCTGAAATTCAGCGCACCAAAAACCCCCTAGAAACCATTTTTCCGAAAGCATACGCGATTTCGTGCCCCTTTCACAATGGTGTGTTGGGGTGGGTGGCTGGGTGGCCTTGCCGAATCCGGGCGTCCCATCCCATTATGGTCGTTTCCATTCTCGGGTTTTCTAATGGGTGAGACGAGAGAATGGAAATGACCCCCGGCTGGTGGTGATCCGTCTTTTCGTGTCGGGACCCCCTCGGGTTTTTAGGAGGAAATGCGGTATGGATATCTCGGGTGCGTCTGGTTCACTCACTCTCTCGTTCTCTCTCTCTCTCTCTCTCTCTCTCCTCTCTCTGTCCTTCTATCTATCTCTCTCGCTCTCTCTTTCTCCATCTCTCTCCTATTTTAAAGGTGTTCGAAAGGCAGACTAACCCCAAAATTCTCTACCTATCCACAAACTCCAAATCCCAAAAACCAACCTTTAAAACCAAACGAACTCCTTGAACTTGTCGAAGTCGTCGGCATAACTTTAGAGTGGGGGGCGGGGCGGGAGAGACGAGTAGTAGTCATTTGTCACAGAGGCGGAACCGGCAGGGGAATGTTGGGGAGAGGGAGAAGTAGACGGGGTAGCTGTAGCTGCTCATCCCCGTCATCTAGTTGGCGGCAACGACAGCAGGGCTGGTGGGGGCGACCACCTCGACCTTGACGGCCTCCTCCTCGACGACCTTCTCCGCCTTCTCGGCCCGCTCCTTCTCCTCGGCCTCCATCGCCGCCTGCTTGGCAGACTGAAAAAATTGGAATTAATTTGGGGTATGGTAGGGGTTTAAAGGGTCGATGCTAGCCTGCCTTCTGCCCTCCTCCTCACCTGGGATGTCTGGGGGCGAGCCCTCTTGAAGAAGTTGAGAATGGTGTCGATGATCGAGGTCTTGACGGCCTGTCCAGCAGCCTCAACAACAGCATCCGTATCAATCGAATCCTTCGAGAATTTCTCGGTGGCCTGGGTGGCCAATTGCCACAGAGTGGAGAAGACGGCCTGGTAGCCCGGCTTGCCCTTCTCCAAGTCCTCGGCCGCGAACACCTGCAACAGGGAAATTTAGTATTTTGCTTAAAAATGATAATTTTCATATATTAATATCCAAAAATAAGTTTTCTAAAAACGCGTTTTATACATTTTTTGAAGGTTAATTCCATTGCTTTAATTATTATTTAATTAGATTTTTTCATCGAGAATTCATTTTTTTAATTTCTAAACCTTAAAAATAGTTCCAAACAATGTAGAGTCTGTTTAGGTCATTTTAAGCATCAAAAAGCTCGTAGAAAAAATTTATAGCCTAGAAAAGCCTTGAATTGATTCGATTGAAAATTCTAATTCAAATTTATTTTTTGAATGGATTTTCTCGATTCAACAGATCTTCCCTTTTTACACCCGGTATTACGTTTATTTACTATGCCCACCACCGCTTCCATAGCAGGGTTGATTCCGTATGCAAAACGGGGTTTAGGTTGCGCCCCCCCGGAAAAAGCCATCGTACAACCACGGTGGGGGCTAGAAAATAATTCCAGATTCTGGAGGCGACGACGTGTATCTCTCTCTCTCTCTCTCTCTCTCTCTATCTTCTCTTTCGCCTCCAATATATAGCCATTGTTGTATACCCGTTTCCCTTTTTCCGATCGACTCCTCCTTCCAGTCTTCCGTCTAGGGCCCTTCTCATCAATTAAGGCCTCCCCGCGGCCCCGAAATGGGCGCTTCTCCCCCCACGAAATTGAGACCGGGCGCCTATTCTCAATTATTCGATGGATGGGACGGGCGTTCGGAGTATCGTAGTGGAAATTCTGGGAAATTTTGTCCTTGGTGGTTGCTTTAAAGCGGCGTCCCTACTGCCGGCTACGCTAAGCTCCTCTAGCCACCACCTGGCACCTGGGCTGCTAATAGCCGAAAAGCGGTGCTTGGTAGATGACCCTGGGGTGTCACAGGTGGGCGTGGGGGAATTACTGTCAGAGAGAGAGAGAGGGAGAGAGAAAGAGAGAAAGAGAGAGAGCGATAGAGACTGGTGATTTACTATTTAAAGGCAGAAAATCCATAGTTCTGGCTTACTCGTTCCTTTAAAGAAAGGGAAACGAGAGCGAGAGAGAGAGAGAGCGAGAGAGACATACAGACTGTCAAATCGACGGACAGACAGACAGTCGACACCCCCATCCGAGGTCACCCCTGAGCCGAGTCCAAAGGCTAGCCGCCCGGGGGCGATCAATGGCTCAGCCGAGCGCACCCCATCCACCACCCTGTATAAACCCTCACATTTCAAAGCACACACCGACACTCGCTCTCGCTCTCTCTCTCTCTCTGTATGTCTCTCTCGCTCTCTAACCAGAGTAAAGTTGGCAGCTTCAAAAGTTCTTGAAACGCGGTAATATGAGGTGATTCCCCAATGGTCTCTGCTAGCCTGCCACACAGCTAAAGCTTCCTAAAAGGCCTCTGCTACCCTAACGGTACGTGAAAAGTCCTAAGGGATCACCGCTAGCCTGCTCCCCGTTGGATTCCTCAAGAGTCTCTGCTAGCCTGTCTGCCGGGAGAGCTCCCCCCGGCGTCTCTGCTAGGATGCCTCCGACTTCCTAACAGATCTCTGCTAGTCTCCCTGGTTTTAACTACCCAATTTCCCGCTTTCCACCTAGATCCCCGCTCTCGACCACGCAATTTGCATACCACTAAGTGGATATCCCTTTCCATCGGATCATGTGCCGACAATTCGACCCAATTTGAGCGATTATCACTCACAGACCCCGGACGAGGCGACGATGATACCTTCACTACGCAACAATCCGGAAGACGAACGGGGGGAGAGAGGGAGAGAGGAGAGAGAGAAAGAGGAGAGAGAGAGAGAGAGACGAGCACGATCCCTCTCGGATGCATTTTAGCAGTGAAAAGCGACACTTTTGGGGGGTGTCTGGAGGGTCCCACGGGGTTCAGAAAAACACAACGACGGGCCGCTACTTTGGACGGGGCGGAAAATTTTGCGTTAGGATTTTTTTTATACAATAGAAAATTGGGGGTTTCGCGGTTTAAAGATATCTAGAAGACAAGAACGAGCGCAAGAAATTAGTTGCTTCCGATTTATAGAAGCAGCTCTGCTTGTGGCCGCTTTTCCAGTTCTTTTTACCCTGCAAAACTGACCGGTCCCTAAGTCGTTTTTCTCTCTTGCTCCGAAATGGATTCCACCAGACAACCGGCATGTAAATAGGCGTTTTTCGGAATCCGGGTCGCTCCAAAAAACACTCGCCCTCTTTTCTTTCGCGAATTTCCCATCGACACAGTAGCAGCACACCCCCTTCTACGGCCAGATGGGCAAATAATGGGATTTTTTAGGAAGGGGTGGAAGGAGGGGTAGAAGGGGTGGGTTCGATTCTTTTCTCTAGAAGAGAGAAAGAGAGAGAGAGAGAGAGAGAGAGAGAGAGAGAGAGTGAGAGAGAGAGAGTGAGAGAGATACAGCCAACCAAACCATTTCCAGTCGTGTTTCCGTTTCGCAAAAAACACACACAGACCGACAGCAGGGGCGAAACAAAAGGTTGGACGGGTTGACTCAGCTGGGAGGTGGGCCCGAGACTTTTCTAACAGGGCCACTGGTTTGTTTCACAATCCGGCTTTTGGACGGGTGCCAAGTTTTGTGAAATCGGGGAAATCTAGGTAATGGACTAAACTGTCCGGGAGTAAAAATTCACGGCTGACCATGAGGAGGGCTAGCAGAGACCTTTTTGGGCGGTTTAAGGGGTTCTGGAAGCCAAAATCCATCGCGGATAAGGGCTAGCAAAGCTCTTTTGGATAGCTTAACCTGAATTTTGCACTTAATAGAATCTGGAAGTTACAAGATTTTCCAATTTACACCAACACCTATCCGGTCGCTAAAAATCTCTCAAGCTACGCTCCCTCTAATTGCATAAGCCCAAAGGCCGAGACGGTGCCAGCCATTTGCCTGCCCACAGGGTCGGTTTTGACCCCCCTCCTTTGCCTGGGGCATCTGGTCCGGATTTCCTGTCTATGGTCCCGCCAAGGATTGGCAATTTGGGTGTGGAGAAGAGGGTGGATGGATGGTAAACAGGAAGGTGAGAGGAGGAACATGGCTATTAATGGCGGATGCGTTGGAGAGGGGCTTCTTGAGGGGCCCTCATATGCAAATTAGTTTCGAAAATGATGGGTTTCGGTCTCTCGGGTCCCTTTAAAACTATCTTTAGGTGGAAAAGTCTACGACAGATTAATTCTTAATTTTCAGGAAAGATTCCAACTACAATACTTTCCTAGTTCCGTTAAAACGTCAGCTATTAGGAATAGACTTATTTGATCTTTATTTTTTACTTCCCGGTCCCTTTAATTCATTCCTCCGACTATAGCAGCTTGTTCTAACCCCCCAGTCGGGTCAAATTGACCAGTGATTTTAGCCCTGGGACCGGGGGTAGCGGCCCCCCAAATCCGGTAAAACGTCCCAATCCCTACGGGTCCTGGGGGGACACAGCGCATTTTAGAATGAATGGACCCGGACGGGGAGGGAGAGAGCGGGACAGAAGAAAAGAGACAGAAAGCAGCCCCAAAAGAACAAGCCCCAGAATGCAATTGAGCTGGACCTCCCGGGGTCAATTCCGGGGGATTCCGGAAGGAGGAAGCCTCTGGCTATAGTATACCATTGGAATATGGAGATTTTAGGGGTATTTAAGATGATTTTACGGAATTTAACGTTAACGGCGGCACGCGACGCGCAACGCAAGCGCCTACCCTAGATGTATCTCATTCGATTACGCAATTAAAAGGCACATTCCCGCTTTGCGTGTCGCGGCGCTATCTTTTTTCACTTTAAAGGGGCGTGTAAGGATGCTCACCTGGTCCTCGGGCAGCCTGGTCTTGGCCCAGTTGACGAACGCCTCGCGGTTGGCCTTCTGGTTCTCCTTGACCTTCAGCTCCTCGCCCTCGTGCACCTTCTCCACGGCGCCGGGGGTGAACACGTTGGCCAGCTTGGCGAGCAGTTCGCCGTCCCTGAAAAGAACATTTTACTTTTCCAAAAATTTCATGGTGGCCGAGTGGCTAGCGAGGTTGATTGCGAAGTTGAGGGTCAAGGTTCGAGCCCCCGCGTGGAAAACTTTTTGCTTTTTGAGCTCATTTACAAGGGGCAATCCAGTGGAGATCCTTTCCGAAAACCTACTTGAGGTGGTTGATGAACTGGTTCTTGGTGACGGCCTCATTCTTGCCGGGGAGGGCAGCACGCTTCTCCGGGTCCTCCTCGACGATCGTCTGGATGTAGTCCAGGATCAGGTAGTTCACCTACAAAATCGAGATTGCTCTATTTCTCTAGCTCACTCTCTCTCTCGCTCTCTCTCGCGCTCTCTCGCTCTCTCTCACCTTATGAACAGCCGGAGGGATCTGCTGTCCGAGCCACTTCAGCGGCTCCTCCCGAATGTCGGCCGGCGGCTCCTCGACCTTCTCCTCAACCTTCGGCTCCTCCACCTTGACCTCCTGAAAAATGAGCATGAGCTTGATAATTTACTTATGGCTTTGCTTAGGCTCAAAAACGTACGGTAACCTCCTCAGCGGGCGGGGCAGTGGTGGGGACGGCGGGGGCGACCTCCTCGATCTTCTCGACCTGCTCGACAACGACGACCTTCTCCTCGGACATGATGATTGTTGACTAGTGCGAGTTGGGAACCCTAGAAAAAGGAAAATATAGGATTTATAGGGTTGAGTGGATCACTAGGGGTATGGAAAACCGAGAAAAAGTGAAAAATGAGCAAAAATGCAGAAGGCAGGGGAAATGGTTCATGCGGCTCTGAACTGCTTGAACTTGGTCAACCAGGTTTTTCTAGCTCAAATGATCTCTGCTATCTTTCCAGTTGCCTTGAACAGCTTGAACTTGTCCCTCTAAAGCTGCTGTTCCCCGATGATCTCTGCTAGCCTGGCAATTTCATTCTGTCCCTCCCCAAGGCGTTATGCAAATTAGTAGCTTTCTCCAGCCGGAACTCACTCCCAGAATGGTATCAAGGGAAGCACCTCTACCCCCTTGAGGCCAAGTGACCAGGTGGAGAGGACAGGAATGTATGCAGAAGGGACACGCGTCTACACATACAGAAGAGAGAGACAGACGGACAGACAGACAGACAGACAGACAAACACTTCTACCCAACACTCAACCCCATAGTGCGAGACCAACACTTTACCTGCAACCGCCTGGAGGGGTTTGGCCAATCGCCAACCCCCGCTTAACTTGGAATTTGGGTGGACAGACAGACAAATAGATAGATTAAGGGATGGGTGGATGGGAGAGAGAGAGAGAGAGAGAGAGAGAGAGGGAGAGAGCTCCTAGAAAAACCTAGGAGATAAAAATCGGAGGGCTACAAAGCGTAGAAAACTATTTTGCAGTACAGTAGCGTACAGTAGTAATGTGTACAGTAGCGGAATCTCGGAATATTTCGAAACTACCTCCCCGAAAAGCGAGGAGATACAATGAATCCTATTAAAAACGACCCGAGAATTAATCAAGAATACCGCAGAATTTCGAAAGAGCGCCACGATAATCGATGCTCAACCGTAGCCTGAGGGAACATTTGCATAAAGGTCAAATATCATCATTAATAGGCAAAAAATGCGGCCTGGCAAATTGCCAACTAATCAACGGAATGCGTACAATGCCGGAATTTTTCAAATTCCGTGAAATACCTAGCTTCCCAGTTCCTTTAAACGAGGCCAGCTAGCAGGGATCACTTAGGAGAGGTGAAGAATGGGGAGGGGCAACGAGCAGAGACAATTTGTGAACGAGATCAGACTGAGAAGGGACAGTTCAGAGATTTTGAGGAAATTTAGGGTTAAGGCAGGGGTCAGCTAGCAGAGATTCTCTAGGATGTAAGTGTGGAAAATAGGACAGGCTAGCGGAGACCATTTAGGGGCATGGGGCTCTTCCAAAGGCAAGCTAGCAGGGATCATGTAGGAAATAAATAGCAGACAAGACAACGTAGGCAGCAAGATTTCTAAACTCCCCGGCAGAGTGCCAAAACCCTACCCGTCCATAGTACAACCGCGGAACCACATAGTGCCAGATTACGGCCATTTCAGCGGTAGGCAAACCATCGAAAAAATTCCAAAAAACCCGCGCCGCCACCCCCATAAATCGGCGCGCAAATTGGGCCGCGCCAGTAGTGGGTGGCCGGCTGAAGCGCCTGTCCATATTACTACAAATGACGGGGCGGGGGAGTGGAGTGTCGCGTAGTCGTTATGAAATATAGAGGATTGGTTTGATGAGTCGGACCTCGGAGGGCGAGTGTAATTTCCGCAATTTGAATACGGTTTTGGGCAATGAATTTGCATATAAATAGTTTTATAAAAGGCTTACGGCGGATTAAGGCATAATTAAATTAATTTTACATCTTTAGCATTAATTTTTCCTCTTAGGCTACCAATAAATAGTGGCTACGAGGGGGGGTGACTTGATTAAGAATAAAAATTAACTAGAGGGGTTGTGTGGTATATGTAAATTGTGAGAAAACAGACATCCAATGGTCACGTTATCAGACAGATGCTGGCGACCTCTTTGGTGCCGAATTGGGGTCCTGGTGCGAAAATGGGCCCTGAGGCTAGATTTCGGAATCGGAGATCATTCTTGGGTCAGACTACGATAATCGGGAGCAAAAATTAGGGTGTTGATTGGCGCGTAAATCGATTTGATCGAATGGAAGTGACAAAGAAAAGTTAATGTTTTTGTATAGCTACCAATAATGGTTACTGTAGCTTTTTCGAAAAATATCTAAAAGAGAGCAAATCGAGAGAGAGAAGAGAGTGAGAGTGAGAGAGAGAGAGGGGATGAGCGTGAGATCTTATGCAAATTGAGCTCCAAGTTTTTAAAGGGACCGATAAGGCAAGAAAAAGTATATTTTGAGGTCAAATCGGTTTAAAACTGCAAAAATCTCAAAATACAGGCCAGTTCCTCAAAAAGGAGCACGAGCTCCTTGGTGGCCGCTTTTTGGATTTGGTGTTGAGGGTGCTTAGGACTCTAGAGGATGGCTTGGGGGAACGAGGACTACTGGAGGTCATCCTAGAGAAAAGAGAGAGAGAGAGAGAGAGAGAGAGAGAGAGAGATAGAGAAAGGGAGATGGGGTCAGAGCATAGTCCTCTAGGAGGAAAGGAGGGGACATCTGGCGAGAAATGGCTCCCTCCTCTATTCCTAAGCAGCTATGGATGGGCACACCACTCTGCTCGATACCACAGAATATGCTAATTGAGGGATCACTTTGAAGGGGCAGGCAAGAAAAGGGGCAGGGCAGGCTAGCAGGGACCGCCTGGGAAAAGTCAGAAAGCAACCTAGCAGAGACCGCTTAAGAACTCCTCCGAGATCAGGGCCAGCTAGCAGGGATCATTTGGGAAATATTGGTGAGGATGAGGAAAATCATAGTGAAGGTCAAGCTAGCTGAGACCTTTTAGGAAAATATGCATAGAGGCTAGTTAGCAGAGAATCTTTAAGAATAAAAATCAGAAAAACAAAGAAAAAAATAGTAGGTAGTCTAGCAGAGACCATTTAGGAAAAAATAGTGAAAAACAATGAAAAGATTAGAGCCGCCAAGGGCAAGCTAGCAAAGTTCATTAAGGAAAAGGTCGACAAATAGGGCCAGCTAGCAGTAACCTTTGCAGAAATCCAAAAAAAACTGCTAAAAATAATCCAAGCATAAAAAGATGAAAACGAAGATGAGATATAGTGGGGGGCTGGTTCTGGGGTAGTGCCTTGTAATTGAGCCACCCGGTAGGAGGGGGAGATGAGGAGGGCGAGGAGGTGGAGGACAAAAGGGGCGGGGCCAACCTCAAAACCACAAGCCACGCCCACTTTCTGACTCACCAACGACGAACCGCACGATTCTGCTACCCGCAACTGGGTTACGAAAGAATTTTTCTGGTGGAATGGGGGCCCAGGGGTGAATTTGGTTAAAGGGACTGGGAAGGGGGAAATGCGAAGTACGGTAATAGAGAAAATAAACGCAAAAGCGAAGGGGGAATGCTGTTTTAAAGGGGCTCACAAGTGCAGGATTTGGAAGAAAGCGAAGTAGAGAGAGAGAGAGAGAGAGAGAGAGAGAGAGAGAGAGAGAGAGAGAGAGAGAGAGTTGATAGCTTGCCACGTCTTAAAATATCTCCGCCAGCTTGCCACGCATTCCTAAAAAATCTCCGCTAGCCTGCCTCCGATTTTTGGCTAGCTTACCGAGTTCCTAAAATGTCTGATAGCATGCACGATTTCCTAAAGAATCTCCGGCAGAACGCTCGATTTCCGAAAAATATCTGCAAGCTTGCCCAAATTTCCCAAATTATTTCCGCTAGCTCGCCTATTCACTTTCCTAGGAAACGATGCGAGTTTGCCTCTCACTAATAATGATATCTGCTAACTCGCACGGCTTCCTCAAGCGTCTCTGCTAGCTTGCCCCGATTTTCTAAGAAATCTCGTTGACCTGCCTGGCTCCTAAATATTCTCTGCTAGCCTATCAACTTCTGATCATTCCCGAATTTCTCCAATGGACTCTGTAAGCTTTCTGAGCCTAGAATCTTCACGGCAAATCCGACAGGAATCTAAAAATAAAAATTACGCTTTATTCACCGTCTCCCGAAAATCTGTCATTGAAATCGAGAATTCGTGAGTCATACCATTGGTTGGCTGTGAATTTGAAGGGACGGTGAGTGTTGTAACACCCGAAATATCAGGGTAGCCCCCGCCGCACGGATTTCGACAATTTTCCGACTGTTTTCCGTTGGACTACCCGGGATGACGCATCGGGATTTGGAGCGCTGGGTACTGTTTTGAAAGTGTGAAAAATAAGTTGATGGTAACCAGACATGTTGTATCGGTTATGATAGCTTAACGGCTTTTAGAATTTCGGTGATTTGGCCGTGTTTTAGGACCTATCTTAATCAGAATTGGCGGGAGTCCAAAATTACCTAGCTTATCAAGCCTTTTAATGACTCAACTCTTTAGGAAAAATGCGGAAAACGGGGGCCTGGATAAGAAACTAACTTGACTCACTTCCTCCCCTTTCAACGAAATCTGAATTTCAATTTCTAGGACCCTATTTCCGGGCAAATATTGGCTGAGCGGCGAAAAATATAACGTGACTCATCGAGGGGGAGTAGGTGGCAAAATTGGATAATTTAGGGAGCTGGAAACATTTCACAAAAGATTAAGGAAGATTCCGCACAGAATCCCTGCTTGGCTGCCGAAGCTACATCACGCAATACTGCAAATTCCGAAAATGAACACTGCTAGCTCCAAATAGAGGAGAAATAAACAGACAATCACCAGGCTTCAGAAAGATCTCTGCTAGCCCGCCAGCCAAGTAAAAATTTGCTAAAGAAACCCTGCTAGCCTGCCCCACGTTAATGTTTGCGGAGATCCGTCAAGGGTATTTACTTCTCGATTTCCACCAATGATCGCTGCTAGCTGGCCCAAAAACATAAGGGGTATCTTCTAGCCTGCCAAACGGCAGATAAAATTCCTGAAAAATGGAGGCTAGCTGGCCCTGCAGACATCGAAATTCCTGAAGGATGCCTGCTATCGATCTTGCCATTTTTTTAATGGAAACTTTGCTCGCCTGCCAGCCGAACTTCTGAATTTCTCAAGAATCTCTGCTAGCCTGCTCGATAAAAAATTTCAAA